AGAATGTACACAAGCGAAGTCGCAGAGCGGTGTTGTCACTGTCAACCGCGCCATCCAAAGAGCCGGCGAGGGCAACCCCTATCCATTTCAAAGCGGCAGGTTCTTTTGAATTCCACGCAGATGCCTCACAGCGAGCGCTTTTTGGAGAGCCATTAGAGCTGCAAATGGCTGCGAAAGAAGGCACGGCTGTTACAGCAGCTCCAAGGCTCTGGGAAATTTCATTAGCAATATATATATATATTTTTCAGAAGCGTAGTGCAAAAGGTGTTTACCTCACATGGTTCTCCCGTCGACATTTTCCTCGCTCCTCCAACCATTTAACAATCCGGTACAAAATGAATGACTCATGCAAGTTGCCACGGCAACACGGCTCATTGGGATCATTTACCGACCATCATTGTTAAACCCTGCGAAAGAATCAATAACAAGATTTGTGGAGGGTGGGAGGTGGAGGAGGGGGGGTTGAAGCCTCATGACCCGTTTACAGTTTATGAAAACGTGGCTGTGTGCATCTGTGTGCGTCTGTCTAGTTTTGCAGCAGGTAGGCGTCTCTCCCTCGCCTTAGGGCACACACTTAGGTGGGGCTTGAGAAAATATTTCAGTCTTCTGCACTCGGCCTGAAGCTCCAACTCTCTTGAAGCAAGGGCCAAAAATATTAGCATGCAGCAACACTTTAAAAGAGCTAATAAATAACCGCCGTCAGAAGGCAGCATCCACTTAAACACACACGCACGCACACACACACACACGCGGAACTGCAAAGTCAGCTCTACAGAAATTGCGTCAGAGAGCAAACTAGCTCTCTCCGGTTGACCTAATATTGTTGCTCTCCATCTCCTCCAACTGCTCTCGTTTGTCCATCTCCGCATAATTCCAGCTTCCTCATCCACGGGCTTCCCCGCCAACCGCCCGAAGGGGTCTCCCGTCACCTTAAAAAAGAAAAAGAAATTTCTCTATTTTCCCGCTCCCATTCTCTCACTCTTTTCCAGGCCCACCCCCCTCTTCCAGGGGGCTCTTAGAGGGAAAACATTGAGATAACAGCTGCCAGGGCCCCAGGGAGAGCGAGGAGGGAGAAAAGAGGTCAAACAGTAAAGGGAGCAGGAATCCAAGGTACAGCTGAAAGCGAGGCGCACACACGCAGAGGGACTGACTCACGCCGAACGAAATGGAACGATATAAGCGAGACACCAACTTTGCGGCCCACTGTGTGCTTCAGCTTCTGTGTGTGTGTGTGTGTGTGTGTGTGTGTGTGTAATGTGTGACACAAAAATTACAGTGAGGAGGTGTTGCTAGCGGAATAGGAGAGATGCAGAAGGGAGAACGAGAAAGAAAGAAAAGGACGGAGACAACTGTTCTGGTGGGGAGACACCTGTCCTATTCGCTCACGGGGCTTGAGCGACGTACAGAGACAGCTGCAGAGGCAATAAAGGAGAAAGCCCCCCCCCCACTCCTTCCACTCCGAAAAGAGTTTACCGCAGAAACAGCATACTGCTACATCCAGCTGAGCACACTAACACGCTGTACTGAATGAATCTTCTGAGCATACATAATACATGGCAGAGCGACGTTTCTGGCAGTGGCAGAAGCTCTTGATGTTGCATGCGCTTCTAGCTCTGGGCAGGAGAATAACACATCAGCGCTCGTGCATTCCGCCGCGGCGAATCCTAATTGTATGGCGACACGATCGCCGAGCCTGCGTCTCGCTGTCATCTTACGCATACTACGCTTGTTTTCACTGTTTATCTCCCTCATAGCAACCGGGGGCTGCCGAGTCCCAACGACACTCTGTGAAATGCCCCCGACCACTCTGGCAAAGGGGGTCAAGAAGAGTCCTCATCTGTTAGCAGTTAATTAACATTTCATGCTCAGTGACAGGGCTGCCTGCTCTCCGTGTACAGTGGAGCCCGAGCAAGCGCGACGCAGCGGACTCGCACACGGAGGAGGACATTTAAAAAATGGAAAAAAAAATAAAAAAGAGAGATAAACACTCACCGACAACACGGAAGGATAGTACAGCCCCATCATCGTATTCCGTGCTACAACTCGAGACCGTCGTCGCTCCTCTCTCTCCCTCTCCGATCCTGTGTCACTTTACCAGCTCAGTCTCTCTTGTCTGTCTCACGGATTCAAAATCTCCCTCTCTCTGCCCCCGCTCGCTCTCTGTCTGCCATGCCAATCCCCCCTCTCTTCTCCTCCTCCTCCTCCTCCTCTGCCCCTGTCACTCTCCCTTGCTTGCTTGCTTGCTTGCTTGCTTTCTTTTCCCCTCTCTCTCTCTCTCTCTCTCTCTCTCTCTCTCTCTCTCTCTCTCTCTCTCTCTCTCCCACTCACTCTTTTCTTTCCCTCTCCCACTCACTCCTTCCTTTCCCTCTACCCCCAGCCTTCTGTTTTGCTGCTGTGCCCTTGCCTGCTCATCTCTTCTGTCTCTTCTCCAGTGCGCCTCCTCCTCCTCCTCCTCTCTCACCCAGATAGCCTGACGCCTCCCCCTCCTCCTTCTCTGCCTCTGTCACACCTGCAAACTTTCCCCTCCCCTCTGCTTCTATCTTATGTCGCAGTCCCTCCCTCCACTCTCTCTCTCTCCGCTCTCTCTCTCTCTCTTCTTCTGTTCTCTTTCTCCATGTAGGTGAGTTAACTGGGGCTGCTGGCACCACTGGGAGAAGAAGTGAATACTCTCTTCTCTTCTCTCCTCTCTCTAGTCCCTTTCAGAGATGCACCTTGTTACATAAATGTGCTGGCAATTTACATGTTTGTCTCGTGTTTAAACGAGCGGCCAACTCACTTTTCTGTAAAAGGCACTCTGACAGTGTCGAACCTAAAAGCGTTCTCGTAACACATCCAACACTGCTCAAGTCTGAATATAGCCACATTAAAGTAACCCTTAAGAACCCTTAAAGCTGCACTAACAGGGACGTAGGGTATCCACGTGTGCCTAATGGAGTGTGTGCTTCATAACTGGGAACTATCGTGCACAAGGACCCGTCATAATAGTTGCAGTGGGCCCCGCCGTAACCAGACGTTAACCTCCGGTTCTGTGGAGGGAAGCTAATGCGGAAGTGTCTTAAATATGCATTCTCTCTAATGGCCAGCAGGGGGCGTCATCTCTGGTTGCAAAAATAAGTCAGATTGTATAGAAGTCTATGAGAAAATGACTTTGTTTGTTTAGTAAATTATGATCCATTTAGAGTCAAATAGACCATAAAGTAGAGTATGCTTTGGGGCGGGCTTACTGTGATTGCCAGGTTGCTGCCGCTACCAGAGCCGTACACGGCGTCTCTTAAGTCACTCCTCCACAGTCCTAATTTGGTAACTTCCGTTCACTGGTTGCAAAAAGCCAAGATGGAGACGACTAAATCTCCGAACTGGAGGATTCAAAACCAACGGGTGACGTCACGATGACTAAGTCCACTTCCTGTACAACAACCAATATTCTTTGTATTCAAAATGGGCTTTAGCGTTTCAGCATCTTTCAGCTCATTTGTTTTGGTTTTACAGCCGGCAACTTCACTCTCCTCTCACCACACCTATCAACCTAAAAACACACACTTCACACTACCTTCCCAGCACAGAGTAAGTGTCTAAGCTGGTGAATATGGTGTAGTGGAGCATTCAGCAGCTGAAGAACACGATATGTTTCTCAGACACATTTAATGACACGTGTATCGACCACTGGGGACAGGAAAACATGCCTCGAGCAGCTACTCTATCAGGAAGGCAACAGAGTGGAACACAATGAGAGGATGCATCACGTCACATTATTATTTTTTTTTAAAACACAAAAAAAAAAACTATGTCCTCCAAATAAGGTAATCCTGAGCCCATTTGGACATTAAAGTATTTGTCTTCAGCACGACATACAGCAGATGCCAGCATCGTTTCCTCGGAAACAAGGACTAGAGAGTAAATCATAGAATGTAAATAATCACATTTAAATAATAGAAGTTGGCTATATTTGGGTTAGATACGAGGTTAAAAGCATATTATTTTTGCAAGTCACCGTTATATTTATATATAAAGCCCCAAAACATTACTTTAAGATGTATAAAAAGAAAGGTTTCATATCCCATGTCTGAAAAGGGCTCGTCCCTCTCCTCATATATTGCTGCTCTCCAGGCTCTTCCCTTTAAACACATCATTCTCACACTGCTGTTGACAGCTTAGCACCTCGGTGCTGTGGGAGCCTCCGCTGCCCAGCATTGTTTTCATCCCTCTATGCCCTTTTTTAAAAAATCCTGGTCAGAGGCCAGTTTACACTTCTGAGTCCCTCAAGTAGCACTTAACAGACTCCTTTACACCCCAACAAGAGATCGCTCGCACGAGGTAACACTTTAACCTTCAGGATTATTCTGCGAACATCACCATTAGCAAGGAAACGGTTCAAAGTTGCATCACCTCGTGGTGAAATAAATAAATAAAAAAACCTCCGACTGAAACAAATAAGGGCGTACAAGTGAAGGGTTAAGACAGATACAGTGCAGATAAGAAGCCAGAGGTTGCTGGGCATCGCAGAGAGAGTGAGGGATGAGGGGATTATGGGCAGAGCACGAGAGGATGAGTGGATGAGCGGAGGATGATCTAACGATTAACCACGTAAACTGAACAGTCTAATAACGCCATCAGCAGGCTAATACAAACATGGGTAAACAGATTGCGGCCTTGCACAGTCACACACACAGTACAGATGGTTCCTTTAATGTGTATTAGCTTTTGTTTGAGAGATAAATGTGAGAATCTTCATGTTCAACAGACAAAATAAGTTGGATTTAAAAGCTCACAGATGCTACTGCTAATTGTCGAGAACAGAAAGAAAAGTGGTGGGAGGGCAAGACTGGAAGAGTGAAGGGTGTGGAGGCACGTCTTCTTCTCCACCACTGATAAATTATAATCTACACCCCCACCTGGTGGTTCAGAGAGCCTCAGTGAGCCATAAATAATGCTTTATGAATCGGAAAGAAATATCAGAGAAAAATGGGTGTTTGATTATTAGAAACCGTCTGAGTCCTTACCTGACTATGAGAGGGGTAGCCATGGTATCCAAGGGTCAAAGGGTCGTTGTTCTGGAAGAGAAGAGAGCAGACTTGTGAATACATGTTCAGCCACTTGATGTACAGGAATGCCGTTTCATTCACTCAATCGCACTCGTCTCTATTCTTGCACACTTTTCATTTGACTTTGCAGTTGCGTGGTGTTACTGTCTCCTAATCAAATCATCCCCCCCGTGACACACTCCCGCGATCTCCTCCGGAGCTTTTCCACCCAGCGGATCTTTTGTCTGCTCGTGAAGACGTGATAACGGGGGCGAGTCAGATCATGCGAGCGGGAGATGAGAGACGGGGCAGAGAGAGGGAGCTCTTAAATCATAAATAGGTCAGGGGTGTCAGCGAGCACGGAGCCCTTCGGTGTGAAATGGCATCATGAGCCCCTGACGCAATCTCCGACACATTCCCTGTCAATGTTCTCTGGCTGCGTAGTAGCAAAAGACGGATGCGTCGAACATCTGGTGAGTAATTGCAGTTTATCAAGACGTATTAAGAGAAAAAAAAATGTGTTTGGAGCCAAACAATCAGAAATGTCATTCCCCTGCACCCGAAAATAGTTTGTAACTCACTTTATTTGTAAATTTGATCATAACACCGTGTTCCCGCTTTTATGCTAATGTGTTCCATTACAAAAAGGGAGCTTTACGCAGCAATTACAACACGCTTTGAAGAGGGGAAAGACATTTGCTCGTCTCTGGCTAGTGGCTACATATCGCTAGATTATAAAACAACTCGGCTCCTCCCTCCTCTCTCTGCCCCCCCCCCCCCCCCCCCCCCCCCCCCCCTCCCCCACCCCCCCACCCCCCCCCCCCCCCCCACACACCCACACACCCCCCCCC